AAGCTGTCTTCGAGTTGTTCCCGGTTGTATAAGATGTTGGTCTCAGTCACAACAGTTCAACCCCCATAGAGACATAATCACGGGGTGACATTGTTACAAGATGGGACATTTCAATGTATATTGACTTGGGTATTCTGTAAGAGAATCTTAAGTATGTAATTGGAATATCATTTATTTCTGTGAATGAATGGTCCCTTTTCATTTCAAGCCATTCATATACGATTTGGAAGATTCGCATTTGGACATTTTCTGTAAATTGGAAACTTAAGTAGCTAAGTTATGTATGAATTAAATGTTAGTAAGTGAATATGTCTTTTACCTTCGGTGGTGCCCCGGCAAATTCACCTTAACTAGGAGCTGTACTAAAGAATCTGAAACTCAACTTGAAATGGCAAAATTTGTCAAACTATCAAGCCTGCGTCCAAGAAATTAATTTGTATATTTGCTGAAATAAATAACATTTACGTTATGATCAGTTTTTTTGCACAGCTTTATGGTTGCCATCTTGAATTTGTTTCACATAGGTCCATTTCATTCAAAGTTCTGAAATCGACTCGAGCATTATACTGTGAACCTCTTATATGCATACAAAAGTGAGTGATATCAGAGTTGTCAAGAAGTATTCTGTATGATTGTCCACAAGTAGATCAATAATCAGCCTACATCAAATTATGATGTTTATATATGGTTTCCTATGGTATATAACACATCGAGGTCGGTGAATAACACACAAGATGACAAGCCAAATCCTGAGCATACATCCAAGCGTTGTTCCTATGTAGCTAAGCCGAGAATGCAATATTAGGTATCCTACTCTGATATTATAAGAGTAAATTTGTTCCAAATTGTGCAAAAGATTTTCACCTGGTAACATCACATGTTAAAAGTACATTGTACTTCAGGAGATGTACTGGAACATGTGTTAGAAGATTATAGTGGAATCAGGCAGACGTACCTAGAACATATACCGAATTAAAGGTTTCTGCGAGAAGAATTTGGTTATGTCGGGATATATGACGTTCGATTTGCCATGGGTTGGTCCATATTCACTCAATACCAATTACTGATACCTCATTGAAGAGGTACTTATATATGGCTTCCAGTGGTATATCACACTTGAAGATCAGTGGATCACTACAAATGAGATGACAACCGAAAACGTTATCATACCCCCAAGTGAAATACAGCAAACTTGTTTTTGTCAGAGAGTTGAAGGCTTTGGCAAAACAACATGGTCTACATGGATATTCTCGATTGAGAAAAGCTGAATTGATTGATTTACTCAATTTGGAATACAACAAACCCCAGACTGTTAGAGAACTCAAAGCTCAAGCAAAAAACAGTGGGCTGAGAGGTTATTCTCGAATGAGAAAAGCTGAATTGATCGCTTTACTAGATAATAATCAACTTGATGATAAAAATAAACCCACTGTTGTTGATAATAATGAGTTAAAATTTGTACCCACAACCGGCGTTGGTAAATATCTAAGAGGTTGGAAGATGGATATTAATTCCAACATGGATGTTAATGATGTTAAGCCCATCGTATCGAGCAAAATTAATGAGGAGTTAGATGATTTAAATAGTATGAAATACCAGCTGACGGTTAAAATATCATTGAGTAAAAGTAACGCAGACAATAGCACTGAATATACCGAACCTTATTTCTGGAGCAATCAAGAAGTTATATACGAAGTTATATATTATAGATACTATACGCACATCATTAGATACATCAATTCAGAGGATACAGGAAAATTTAGAATGCTTGATTAATAGAGGTTCGGGTTGGGGTGTGGATAAAATCGCTAGTTTATATTAAGATATAGCAAATTATATGCCTTTCAAAGGTGGATCTTATAGATTTACCACCATATTATAAAAAGAAAAAAGCCATAATTAATGTAAAAAATAAAGGCAATGACTGTTTCAGAATGATGATAAGATCTGCATTGTTCCCCGTAGACAAAAATCTGGATAGGTCTTCTAGCTATCCCCAAAACGATGGACTAAACCTTGATTGTATAGACGAACCTACACCAATATCTCAAATTGATAAGGTGGAAAAGCAAAATAATTTAGCTATAAATGTTTTCGGACATTCTCATAAAGGAATTGTTGTACACAGGATAAGCTCCGCTCCGGAACATATTCCCAGAATCAATTCATTTCTGATCGAAAAAGATGGTAAATATCATTATACATGGATAAAAAGTTTAAGCAGACTATTATACGATCAAACAAAACATAAGGAAAAGAAATATTTCTGTGAAAGATGCCTGCATGGGTACAGCAGACAAGATCCATTAGAAGCGCATAATGAAGACTGCGGAGGTGTTGGACAGAATGCTATCAGGATTGATATGCCTGAAAAGGGGGAAAATATATTAAAATTTGAACATTATTGTAATCAAATGCCAGTACCGTGCGTAATATACGCCGACTTCGAAGCACTTATCAAACCTATAGGAAATACAGTCCGAAGCAATCAAGATAGTTTTACATACAAACTCAAGAACATATTCCTTGTGGGTTTGGATAGATAGTTGTAAGGTATGATGGGGAAAACAAACCCGCCCGTGATTTACAGAGGTCCCGATGCAGCGGGAAAGTTCCTAGAATATCTACAAAACGAAGAGAGAATAATCAGGGAAAATTTATCTCGTAAGAAACCCATGTGTATGACGAGGGATGATTGGAGGGCCTATAAGAAGTCAACAAGTTGTCATGTTTGTAATAAATCCCTGAATGGGGATTCCGTAAGAGATCATTGCCACGTCACAGGTTTTAACAGAAGCAAGATATTTGATAACGACTTAGCCGCACAACATATGCATAAAAGTAATATAAAATTCAACAGACCGGTGTACGTTGGTATGAGTATTCTTGACTTGTCAAAACACTTAATGTATGACTTTTATTACAACGAACTTAAGAAGCAATACGGCGATAGATGTGAGGTGTTATATACCGACACAGATTCTTTGTTGATGGAAATACAAACCGAGGATGTGTATACAGATATGGCAGAAAAAATAGATATGTACGACACGAGCGATTACCCAAAAGATAATCCACTGCACCGCGTAGTAAATAAAAAGGTGTTAGGTAAGATGAAGGATAAATGTGCTGGACTCCTATAGTGGAGTATGTCGGATTAAGACCTAAGATGTATTCTATAAGGAAGTCCGATAATGGGGAGATAAGAAAAGCTAAGGGTGTTAAGAAGTATGTTCAGAAGTAAAAAAGCATATTAAACACGAACAGCACCTTAGCCGCGGTGGCTAATTTTTGTATTGCTCCTATACCTTTCCAATATCCTCGTGGGCTATAGTAAATTTTATTCATTATTAATTATTATTGATGTTTCCTTTAATACGTCTTATGACGATCTTTGATGCTCATCATCGTTTTGACATAAAAAATTCCCTCTGTAGTAGTGGTATAGGTATATAAATCTGACTCCAGTGGAAGTGAGCCAGAACCCCCATTACCTATACTACTCAACCCGATCGTTCCTTCACCATCCCACCAATATCGACTATTGTGTGAGCCGTACGTGACAGTGAATTTCTCCTGGGCTCAGTGTGAGCAGTTCGAGTTTTAACTTGCTGCTCCATGACTAGGTGTGGTTCGAGGAAACGGTTATTTATACCCGTGTTTACTACGTCCACAACCGAAGTTAGTTGCAAACACCATATCCCTATGGTTACGTGCAGTCATCCTTCAGGCTTACGAGTGCCAAGAGCCAAGAGCGAATTACCCTTACGATCTCAGGGTGTTAGCTTTACCATGGCTCTACACTGCAATTGTTCTTTTAGGACAATCACGTAAGGATATTTCTAGAGGTTTGACGTAGTTTTCGTCAGTCATTATCTTCGCGTTGTGGCTCTCGAGGACGTCGAAGGCGTGTGAAGTTTGGCCCTCTGGTTGTAATCCAGCAGGTTACCAACCCCTGACGCAAATAATGAACTTGCCCTTAATTTTTTACATTTGTATACTTGTCTTGCATTACTACGTTTAGGCCCACCCGTCGCAAGACTTGGCTTCAGAAATCTCAAAAGTAAGTTTTTCTAAGAGCTCGAGTGACAGGCAGTGATATGAAGAGGGTGACCTCAGGTGTCACCAAGGTCACAGGACAGCGATGAAGATCAGTAAAAGGGACTTCAGAACAACAACTTTATTTCTTCACCCAGGACCATCACTGTTGTGCTGTCCTTCTAGTTGTCGTAAAGTAAGCAGTGTAAGTAAATTAAGGAGTAATGCAGGATAAGTATACAAATGTAAAAAATATTTAAATTTTACTAATTTAGTTTTATGCAGAAAATATTTGAATAGCAGTACTGACAGCGGTTTTAGTTAAGTGGCTGTCATTGTTTTTTAAACTCTTGACTGCATAACTAGGTTAGTTGGTTAGCTACAGTGCTGTTGTTAGTCAATGGCTTGTTAGTCAATGTCATATCTTCTTCAGAAGCCATGTGATCAGTCAAGCTGGAACAGTGTGTGCTTGTTCCCTCCAATGATTACTAATTGGAATAATGGAAATCCCATTTGTGGACACGATTGAATTATACCTCTAAACTTCTACTTCAAATGATCTTGCCTCAATCCTTAAAAAGACCGCCTCCGTGGTCTAGTGGTAGAACGTCCGCCCGGAGAGCGGAGGGTCCGGGGTTCGATCCCCTGCCGCATTATACCAAAAGACGTTAAAAGATGGTACTTGTTGTTACCCTGTCTGGCGCTCGGCATTAAGGGGCTTAAACAAGGACTGGTCGGGATATTCATGTTAAACTGCGGCATGGTATCTCAGTGAGCTAGCACTTTAACTCGGCATTAGTCCGGACTAGCACAAGCAGCCACACAAACACACATACGTACATGCACGTCGCTATAAAAGTGCAATAATCTTTGCTGCGACGTTAAACCCCATTTCACCTCACCTTAATCCTTAAAATTACAAGGTTTATTCATGTTCATGTTGAATTAAATGTTCATTGTAGAATGATGCAAGTAGAAAGCTGGAATCACCAAAACATTGGAAAACAATAGGTGGTACTGCCTCCAAGGTTACAGACTACAGTCAGTATCCAGATCTCGAAGCACCACCACACAGGAGTGACAACATAGCTTTCAAGGCAAGTACATCCATCCACTGATATGATTTTGAAGCTAACTCAGCAAGATCTCTTGATTGTTGCTGGTTACTGGAACTCTGCCATCATTTGAATGCAGTCTCTTCTCAATATGGGGGCACGGGTGGCCCAGTCGTCTAAGGCGCCGCGATTCGCTGTGCAGAGTTGCGTCCCTTGGGCACTCCAGAAACCTATGATTGTGGGTTCAAATCCCGGTTCGCCCCAATTATGTTTCTAGGTTTGTCAGCACCATACCCTTGCTCACCGAAGTGGTAAATGTCTGAGACCTGCATCACTTCGGGCTTTCCTCCCACATTAAGCTGACACGCCGCGATATAACTGGAATACTGTTAAAAGCGGCGTTAAACCCAACTCACTCACTCACTCTTCTCAATACATACTGCACCACTTGATTCACAGTACAGTACATATATCTAATCACTTGATTGACGGTACAATACATATCTCGACAGTTGATTCAAGATACTGTACACATGGCAACTCTTGATTCACAGTACAGTACATATATCTAAACACGTGATTGACGGTACAATACATATCTCGACAGTTGATTCAAGATACTGTACACATGGCAACGCTTGATTCACAGTACAGTACATATATCGAAACACTTGATTGACGGTACAATACATATCTCGACGGTTGATTCAAGATACTGTACACATGGCAACGCTTGATTCACAGTACAGTACATATATCTAAACACTTGATTCACGGTACAATACATATCTCGACGGTTGATTCACGATACAATACACATTGCAATGCTTGATTCACGATATAATACACATCGCAGTGCTTGTTTCACGATACAATATGTATCTCATCACCTAATATCGCCGCGAATAGCTGCAAAATTGCTGATGCGGGAAAGCAATATTCACTCACTCACTCATCACCTAATTCATGATACAGGACACATCGCAACGCTTCATTCATGATACAATACATATCTCAACATTTGATCCATGATACAATACATATCTCAATGTTTTTGCATGAAATGCTTGGCTAACAAGAAATTGTTTCTATCTGCCAGTTTGTGTTAAACTTACATGACTGGTAATTCAGGTTTGTTCAGGTAGATTTATGACATCAGGTTTTATTTAGCAAGCCTGAATTATAGTGAATAGTTATCAGACTGAGAGGCTAAAGTAAGTAAATATTACTTTTTGAAAATCAAATATACAGAATTAAAACATGATTCAATACATGTGTAGGCATACTGACACCTGCATACTCTCACACTGCCAACAGCCCCCATGATTATCAACTTCCCAGAATAACTGAATGAGGCCTTTGCGGTGATTCACTGGAAAGAATTGTTACGCAAACAACGCTTTGGTATGTTAAAGTTTAGGCTGCATGGTGTACCCTTCCCCATGGTTTCGCCATCAGATGTGCAGAAGTTTGGTTTTGGGGGAGGACGTGTTAAAGTGGACAACAAGATACTGACATTGACAGTGATTTACATCTTGCCTTTATGCCACTTTCCCCAGTGGCATCCTTTTTGGAAGCAATGATTAAAGCTATCAGGGAGACTCCAGCTACTACCTTATTTTCCCAGCTGCCGGCAGTGTTATCCAGAGTACTGCTAGAAACAAGGCAGATAATACTGTTTTTGGTAGCAAGTTTATTTTGCAGAACTAACAAGGATTGCAGGAAACCTGGTTATGTGGCAGAAGCAACTAATGAACCCACTTATTTTCAAAAGGCATTAATGACCAGAGTTGTTTCTGTAAGAGCAGCACAGACCATTGTGCGTGCTCACAGCAATTCTACTAGACGTCTTTACAACACTAGGTGCGATTCGTTTGTTGCTTACTGCAATACAAAACAATAAGATATGATGAGAGCTACGACTCTCTGTTTATTGTAGAGTACTTACTGTTTCTACGAACATCTAAACAGTTGTGAGGAGGTACCGTCGATCGGAAGTCATTTATGCAGGACTGCAGCTTGAAGGTCTGTCATGATCAGCACAGTGCCCAAAATAACAGCTGTGTTGAAGGGCTTCAGACTGCAAGATCACAAGAAACACTTCAGACCTCTTGTATGGGATCTGGGGCTGGTACTACTACATCTGGTATCATAAAAAAGGTTTTTATCTGACAGCATTAGCTACATAAGATCGGATTGGTGAAATGCATGCTATGGAAGTCACACAGATACAGTTTGACAGGGTTCCATATGCTAAGGTTTGCATGAGCCTCATATGGGATGTTGTGGCTAAGAATCAGCAGTTGGGGGGACGATAATTGGATGTTCATGATATTGCAGTTATCATCCGTTTTGGGAAGGAGGACATAGCGGATGTATTATGCTTAGGCATTATTTGGAGGAGATGAAGACTTCCAAGAAGCAGCGCGTAGGTATCGAAGAATACCATGGCATCTTGGCTTCTTCAATCCTGCAGGCGCATCAACATGCAGGGTTGGACCCACCTCAAGCGCTCCATTCCCATGAAATCAAGACCCTGGCATCCTTGATGCAGCTGCATACAAGCAGATCAGTGAATGATGTCATCAATGGGTGTTTTGGCGAACTGATACTACAACTGCCACCTCTATCTGAGAAACCACTCTGTCAAAACATCAAGCAGGCCATCTTCGATTAGAGGAAACTCGCAGCATCAAACAAGACACAACCATTACTCAGTCATCCCGGTCGCCGCACAGATCATGCATGGGCTCTACAAGCTACTAGCCAACAGATTTTTGGGCTTCTCAGAAGCGCATCGTATCTGATACAGTTCTCATTGATGACAGAACAAGCTCATCATGCAGATTCTGTTAGCCATAGCAGGAGATCAGATTCCATGGACTTTGACCATTCAGGAATACTTGTCACTGTCAGACAAAGACATCCCCAAATACCTCCTGATGACTATGGATACCAAATGTAATTCTACTTCATTACTAGGTGTTCCTGATATGGATTCTGCACAGACCCTGCAGGTAATACGTTCACGAAATGCCCCCTTTCTGCCACCATAACCAGTATGGAAACAGAGCTTACCGTGGGCCAACCAAGTGGTTTTATTGACAGTCAACTTACCTATCTAGGTACTGTTAGCTGCACCACGATAGCACAACCTCAACGTGCAAATCTCATACCAGAGTCTTGGTTTCCATTAGATGTTCAATCACACAAGGACTGCAGGGATCCTATTGACCTAACTGGCACCACTCATCACCATACCTCCTTACTTTGTATCACCTTTCACCCTATGGATTCAGAATCGGATATTGGGGAATAGTATTGTTTGTGCTCGGATTATTTACAATGACGGAATTATGAACCTGCCTTGTGAAAATCAGGGTTAGAATCTATAGGTCTTCAGCAACCCATGCTTGTTGTAAGAGGCGACTAATGGGATTGGGTGGTCAGGCTTGCTGTCTTGGTTGATGCATGTCAATCACTGGATTGTCTGGACCAGACTTGATTAAGGGTGGTGATGTACGTAGCCTAGTGGTTAAAGCGTTCACTTGACACACCCTAGATCCGGGTTGGATTCACCACATCGGTACAATGCGTGAAACCCATTTCTGGTGTCCCCCAAAGTTTTATTGCTGGAATATTGCTAAAAGTGGCGTAAAACCATTCTCACTCTCTCACTCCCAGACTCGATTATTTACTGACCGCCATCATATAGCTGGAATATTGCTGAGTGCGGCGTTAAACAACAAACAAAACAAAAAGGATTATGAACCTCAAGAACTATTGAAGCACCTCATGCCAGTTTTGCAACCCAAGACTGAAGAGATGGAATTACTGCAGATGCTAGATTACGCAGGTTGCCATGCCCTGACTCCGAGATCCCAGGTTCTCTGACAGAAGTCTTCCCCTGCCTTCATTAAAATGGTGCTTATACCAGACTCATGACTGTCCTCTCCCAGAGTTTTAAGGATTTCTGCAAACTTAACTGTACGCCTAGGGAAAGGATTTCCTTCAGGCCAATGATCAGAAAGACCAATCACAACGTCCATCTGATACTTCCAGATAATCGGACTACAAACGTAGAGGAAGTAACCAATGAAGATCCAGACCTGGAAGTAGGGTGATTGCCGAACCTGACGTCATACCTTACCCTCCCGTCATTTCCGACCCTGTCGACCTAGCTTTGTCTGTGGACTTGGACTTTTGTCTACCATCTTGCAATATAGTGCAGAAGCCTGATCCAGTGTGACGATGTCTATGTTTAGCGCTGAGAGTTGGTAGCAGATCACATACTACTGCTGGATTCTTTACAGAAGGGTACAGGCTACATTTTCAACGCACCCTTTCAATTTATCCTGGCCAGTAGACCAAAGATCCAGACTACAAAGGAGATAATCGATATTGATTATCTGTGAATCCCATCAACATGGATATTTATTCATGCACCTACCAAAGATTTACCTCATACGTACACCGTTATCGGTGGTAATGCAGATTGAGGACATTCGTCAGAAATTGAAAATACATAAAGAAAATTGTATTTCACTGCACTGCAAGGTTCATATGAAACTAAAGGTTTTTACTATGGGCATAAGATTCATGGTGAACAAATTGGGTATGTACCGGTGAGCGCCAAACGAAGCTCCTTACAGTGCTTCGTGGAGCTTTCTCTTCTACCGAGGAAGCATACTACACCAAGATTTAAAGTCTTCTGTTACGCAGTGATACAAGATTGCTGATTGGCTGTTATGTCTAACAAGATATTCACTTGTTCTTAGAACTGATGATTTCTCAACAATATCGGTTATGTCAAAGGAAATTCCAGGTGGAATCAGTACAAAACTGAGTACTTCTGTCCACTTTATTTTCATTTTAAATGCCATTCATCAGATTTGATCACATTGGGTTATATTGATTTTGTTCGATCTGGATAGAAATTGTCTTATGTCCAACAAAAACATTGTGATTCAGCTTCTGTTTTCATCTTGTTAGAATACACCCAAATTAGGAATCAAGCCAGTTCAAGACATTTATATCTAGTG